CCTGGTGGCCCAGCAGGAAGGAGCCCGCAGCGGGGCCCATTCAGCGCTTCCCCGCGCCCTCGTGTTGCTCCTAGTCAGCTGGGTTCCAGTAAGATCTGCAGGAGGGTTTTGAACAGCTGTGTAGGCTCCTGTTGCCGCTTTTCGGTTTTCAGGGTCCCGTTTGTTCTTGTCATATTTGACAAATAGCTTTTTGCCACTTCATCCCAGAATAGTGCAACGTGCTTGGCTCAGTTAAATGTCGACTGAATTGCAGAGTGTGAGATTGGGCTTACCTCCCTCTTAAACCACACTGGGAGCCTTGGCTGAGGATGATTTCAAAGTTGTAACGTAGTGCATCATATTCTCTTGAAAAGCCTTAAGGGCGGGCAAGGAGGTTGCTTTACCACATTCCCTGAGTTGTGATCTTGTGCATGGGATGAGCCTGTTGGTAATGTGGCATTAGACAAGTTCTGGACACCTTGCTTGACAAGGCCTGGTCCAGCAGCAGTTCGTAGCACATCAGTGACTACTGATGACAAGAGAGCTGGCCAGAAAATGCAACGGGAGGGAGAAGAATAAGAGTTCCCTTTGTAAAGAGGAACATAAAAATTAATTTTCTAAGAAAAGACTGCCTAGCTGATTGGGGACTTTTATCAACCGCTGAGAACTTTGTCTCACTGTGCATCTTTCAAAGCAGAGGTTTAATATGCTGATAGTTCCAGGGGTCAAATAACTCTATAAATTAATTTTTACAGTGTTATAATAGAAGGTAGAGTACAGGAATGAAAACTCATGTTTCAGAAGAGAGACATCAGTATAAAGGGTGCATGTGTACAGCAGTATTTGCTTTTAATTTGAAAATGTAAACTTTTTTAAACACTTAAACAGAAATATCGTTTGTGTTCTAGGAGCTGGGAAAACAACTCTTCTAAACTACATACTCACAGAACAGCATGATAAAAGAATAGCAGTTATTCTGAATGAGTTTGGAGAAGGTACGTAAAACTGATGAAACATTTTTTAGCCATAAATTAGCAAAAGTATAAAATTTCTGGAAATCAAGGATGTTACAGTTTTAAATGCAATACTGAAGTTATTGACATACCTCATAGTCTTCAGAAGGGCAAAAACTCTTTTGGATGGTGTTCTTAAAGTGGTGCTGTGAATTAATCCATTTTGTACATAAATTCAGTCTCTCGGAGTGAAGTAAATAAATATATCACCCTGTTGGAAGCACTGTACCTCCATATGTGCTGCTCAGTTTCCAGCAAATGGAAATTGAAGTAATATGTTGGTAGATAACATTTTCTTTCCACTTCCCTCAACCATTTACACATCACAGATAATCCTAGATGAAGCAAGTAGGAAGATGTGTCCTTGGTGTCTGTGGTTCTTTGAATTCTTTGCTTTACTTCTCAAGATTTTAAACTGTTATGACTGTAATTTCATATCTGTACCATAGTCAGTGTTGGTTACAGTTTGCACTGTGTTGTTGGTTTTTTTGTTTGTTTGTTTTCATTGACAAAGATGCAAACCACTTTTCTGGTCATGGAGCCTGAAATAAAATATAGAGATGGCGCTTTATTAGATATGGAAGTAGAACCTGACTTCCCTTTCTTAGCAAAGTTTGAGGCACTTATGTTGTACTTTCATCACCTGGGTTTTGTTTTTGTAGAAACAACTTGACTTTGGCTTTTAAATTTCTTATAAAATGGAAAATACTCATTTCTGAAGAACATGTCAGAAACGTGATCTCAGAAGAAAAAAAACACCTCAAAATCCAAGAGTGAAAATGTATACCAGCTTAAATCTTTAGTATGTCTTTTGCAGGCATTGTCAAGCAAATCTGTAGATTAAAATTATAGAACTACTTGTATTTCCAGGAAGTGCCTTGGAGAGATCCCTGGCAATCAGTCAGGGGGGAGAACTCTATGAAGAATGGCTGGAACTCAGAAATGGCTGCCTGTGCTGTTCAGTAAAGTAAGGAAGGACCATCGTACAAGTTTTTACAGTGGGTTTTGGGGGAATTGAGGAAAGGAGAGGACATCCAGGATTTGATCCTAAAACTGATGGTAGTATTGATTGAGACTTCTTTTGTCAGATAAAATAACAGTTTAGATTTGGGAGATTGAAATTACTTCTTTTTGCTGCCTTACTGGATGTGGACCTAGCGTCTTTCAGAAAAGTAACCTAAATACGAACTTACACGCCATTGGGATATTGTACAGTAGGGAGCTCTCCCTTTTTTGTTAATGTTATATGCTTTTATTTAGAGAGCTAAAGATTCAGGGAGGCTTTAACAAGGATTCAAGTTTCCTAATTTCCACATTAAATACTTGCTCTGTGTCTCTTTCTCTGTATTTTGGTTAGTACTTGGATATTTTATACCTCGGAAATGAGGGAGGGGGAAGCTTCTAGTGGTCTAATGAAGCACAGTATTCCAAACTGTAAGCCAATAGTCAGGAGTGCATTTGCTTTTCTGATGTGGTCTTTACCCTGTTTGTTTGAATGGTAGGCTGGTTGTGCCAAGTTTGTAATAAAGGTGACGACCTGTTTTTCCTGAGAATTTGGAATAACTGGTCCTGTGCCTTAAACTGGGATAGCAGGTGGAGAAAGAAGACTGTGTTGCATTGTGTTCTACTGGAATGTAGGAATGCTGCCCTTGTTGCTGTGTTTTATGTACATTGGTTTCTTATTTAAAATGCCATACATTTCTGTTTCAGGCTGACTTCATTAGCTGAAATTTAAGTAAATGACACCTCTTGATTTTTGCCTTAGATAGGGTGGAAAGCAATAGAACATGGTTCAGTTTGACCCCCCCTGCTCCACACACCCCTCTTTCTTTTTGTAATTTCATCTGTCAAACCAGATAGTTATGTATTTACATAGGCTTAGCACTCTTTAGAGGGTTTTCAGTGTTTGAAAATAAATCTTCATTTAAATTACATTTATTATGCCTGCTGCGAGTAAGCAAATGTGATTTTCAGACTAAAATGAAAAAGAAAACTACAATATGCCTAATACTAGAGCAGCAGCTTCCTGACTGAATTTTCGCTGTAGACTGCAAGTCCTTTGCTCAGAGGCCTTGGGCCTTTGCTTTGATGCCGATGACGCTGTGTTTTATATTAGAAGATACATGTTTATACACGCTTTAGCTTGTATTCTCTATTCTCAGGTTTAATTCTTTCTTCTTACAGGGACAATGGTGTGAAGGCTATTGAGAACCTTATGCAACGGAAAGGAAAATTTGACTATATATTGTTAGAAACAACTGGCTTGGCAGATCCAGGTAATTCATGTTATGTTTTTCATAACCATGATTATTATTCTGTTTTTATGAAGAACTTATTTGCTCACCAGTCAGTTCACTGTGCAAAATGTAGAGTGGTGAGTTGTCAGACATGTGCTTTGATTGCCGTATAGATTGAAACCGAATTGAGTAAGGTGCAGAAGCAGAGTTGTGGGTGGAGTTGTTTAGTTGGGTCATTTGTTTTGTTTCTTTGAGCTTGCTCTAAAGCATAACAGAATTAAAATGTATTCTATCAAGAGAAGACACTGGGCTTAGCACACTGTGAAACTAGTAGTTTTCAGTAGATCTTTGCTTTTCTATATTACTATTTTTAAAGTCTAATTATTAGCATATGATGTATTGTTACATTGGTTGTGATAGACTGTGTTTTGTGAAGTCATAAAATATTCTGTGAAACAGACTAAAACGTTCTGGTAGGTACAAAACAATAGTAGATCTTAAATTTATTGTGTGCTCTTTAGTGGTATTTACTATAAAGAGGTGTTTGAACTTAACTGCTTTAGAGAGCTATTACTAACATAAGCTTTTCTCAGAACCGTCTCAATTAAAAATGTGTTGTTGATTGAGGGTGAAGGAAATTCTTATCAGAAGTTCAATTGTTTCCCATTTAGGAGACTGACACTTTCTAGCTGAAAACTAAGTAGTTGTCATACTAAAGTAATTTTCTTGAAAAGAAAGGACATTGATTTGGCCTCTGTTACATACAAATTCTGTTTGAGTCAAATGTGAAAACTATTAAGCTTTTTGGAAGAGAAATCAATGGATAACAGACAACCATTAAATGTTGTGGCCCATGCTATATCTTGTGTGAGTAAACACTGTGAACACCTGACAGGTATTTGGTGTTGATTCAGAATGATGTTTGGAGAACTGTGTCTTGTTGCTGCAGGTGAACAGTTTTAGGTGTTAGAATGAGTTTAGTTACTGGTATTTTCTGTTAATTCTTTTTTTGAGATGTCTTAGCCTGCCAGTAACTAAGGATCTGATAATTGAAAAAAACAAGTACTGTCATTGCTGTCAGCTCCTCTTTTCCTTGATCTTGTGGCACTGATATTTTAAATAGTTCATAGGTTTATCTTTTTTTTTAAGTATAGAGCATACTCTTTGGTTGCTAGAATGTTTTACAGGGCCATTTTAGCAGAAAACAGGAGTAGCATACTTCTAAGCCGTGTATAATACCTAGTTACCCGATTACAGAATCCAAGTCCTTGATTGAATGTGGTCCCGGTTGTTCAAATAATTGCTGGTTATTTTTGCTCAAGAGTTGTCAGTTTAGTGTGTTCCATTTTACATCCTGAAGCAGTATAAATGACTATACAGAGAAGAGAGAATACTGCATGTTTCATTATTCCAGAAGCACCTCACCTGAATAGAAATTCAGTGAATTATGAGGCCTAGCATGTGAAAAACAATATAATCATATAATCGTATGATAATTCAGTTTGGAAGGGATCTTAGGAGGCCTTTGGTCCAACTTCTTGCCCAAGAGGGTCAGCTGTAAGGCAAGACCAGGTTCTTAGGGATGTGGCAGTTGTGTATCTCCATCCTCAGATGTTAAACATGACATAGCTTCTGAAGACAACCTGTTCTATGTCTGTCTTTTTGTGATGAAAAAACTTCTTTCTGATAGATGTGATCTTACTTACTTAACAGTTGTCTCCCATCCTTCTGCCACAGCCTGGCTCAGTCTTCACCACGACTCAGTGAGTGTAGTACTAAGGAAGCTGCTCATAGGTTCTGGAGAAACTGTCCTCTCTGTGGGCTGAAAAATGCAGTTCCCCTACCTCTCCCTGTAGACACTATGCTCTGGCCTCAGCTGTCTTGGTGATCGTACATGGATATCTTCCCTGTATGGGGAATCACCACACTGGAAGTGATAGCCGGGTGTGGGATTGAAAGTGCTAAATAGAGGAGAATAACCTCCCTCAGCCGTGCTTCTGCTCCAACAGTGTACTTTTGGCCTTCTTTGATCCTGGGGCACACCTGTTGCTTGGCTTGTTGCCTGCCAGGACCCCCATGGCCTTATCTGTAGACCTGTCCGCCAGCCAGTTTGTCCTTAGCCTGTGGCGTTGCCAGGACCTCTTTGTTCTTAAGTGTATTACTTAATGTTTCTCTTTGCTGAATTTCATCAGGTTCTTATTGGCCATTGCTGCCTGCCTGGCCAGGTACCTCTGAAAGATAGCTCTGCCCTTAGATGTATCAACTGCTCTTTCCGAATTTGGTGTACTCCACAAATCTGACAGGCATGTCTTCCATCCCCTCCTGGGTTCCTTGTGGCGATACCGAACAGGACAGGTCCCAGGATAGATTCCTGCAGTATTCTACTTCCTACTGGATTCCAGGTAGGGTATGACTAGTTTACTGCATCCTTTATAGCTTAATTATTCAACCATTTTTACCTCGTTGCCTTTTCATTCAGACAGATGATGTCCCAGCTTGGTTACTAGAATATCTAGAAAGACAATGTTGAAAAAATGGCTAGAGGTGATGTAAATGGCATGCAGTGCTCTCCCTTTGTCCACAAATAGAATAATTTTTTCACAGAAGGCTAGTTACGGCCTTCCCAGAGTGATTAGGTGTGATTTACCATTGCAGACTTCCCTATCTGTTTGCAGATTGACTCTTCATTAGATGTTTCTTTGTCTTAAACTTAGCTAAAGCCAGAAGCTTTCCTGTGCAGATCTGAGATAATGAAGGAAAACATTGGAAAATATTCTTTTTTTTGTACCTGGCTATTCTTGACTTCACCCTCGTGACTTATGATGTAAGAAATTGCATAGAAGAGTTTATAGAGACTGGTGAGGAAAACAAGGTCTCTAGGATGGAACTCATTCCTTTCAAATATCCCAATTCCATTTTTCTTTAACTATTTAATCTCCCTTTTTACCTCCTTTTGTGTATGTGTGCCATGACCTGGAAATGGTGGCTGAAAGGTCAGGAGGGGGAATACAGAATTTTTTAGAAATGAGGGAGACTTGGAGTGTAGTAATGGCAGGTAGTTGATATTACTGAATATTACTAAAGGTAATTTAGACAACTTACATGCATCTGGAATTGTGTGAGGGTTTTTTAAAAGCTTTTTTGTAGTCATAGCTGTTGATGCACACACAAGTATAAGCTTTGGAAGCTGTTAGGTGAAATGTGTTGGGCATTTGACATTATGATGCTTTCTGAATTTGGAAGAGAGAAATTTGAAGGACAGTGCTACAAGTAAAGGTTTTTCAGTGGAATATCTGAATATTGATGGTTTACTGGAAAATGTAAGTTTTGCAACTAAATGTACATCACTTCTTAGGAGCTGTGGCCTCCATGTTCTGGGTTGATTCCGAGCTGGGAAGTGACATCTACCTTGATGGTAAGAAATGCAGCTTGTTTTCCAGCATATTGGCATTCTGCGCCTGGATTTAGTGTAATCGATTCTTATCATTTAAGGCAAGGTTTCCAGAGATGTTTAAAACGCGTGATCTTGCTTCTCAGATCCCCAAATTTAATGGCAGAGATCCACGTACTTATTCTGATGCTTTTTTATCTACTTGTTGGGCTGCTTTCAGTGTGCTAAATCCAACAAAAGTTGTGTAATGCTTTGCTAAGGGATCAGATAGGGTGAGATCTTGATGTGGTGTAAGGGAGGAAGAAAACCGTATTAGTTAGATGTTATGAAACATTACTTAGGAGTAATATTACATCTTTCATCACTGTTTTTTTTTCCAGTGCAGTGTTTCCTAAATTGTTTCCTTTTTCCTGAGCTCTTAACTTGTCAATATCTGAACTTCACTGCGTTTTCTGCCTTCTTTGTCTATTGTAGTCTTGTCAGCTCTGGTATTTGCTGTGTTCCAATAAAAATCTGACTTTACCGTAATGTAAATCATTACTATATATAGTTAAAGAGCATGTTGAATATTGGTTTGGTTTATCTTTTTAATGTAGGAAGAAAAATTTGTCTAGAAAATATCCTACTAACACTTCGGTCAGTCTACAAAATGCCCAAGGAAGTATTCAGTTGAAGAGCAAACAGGTTCCTAAATTTCTGACAGAGAATTGCGGATTCCTGGTCACTTACAATCGTAGTAACTGTCTAGCTCAGTCAGACCCCTTAATTTGTTTGATAACCTGTAAAAGCATATCTCAGCCAAGTTACTATTGCAGAAAAAGGAGGGGCATACACCTGAGAATTTATCTCACCTGGTTTGTATTTTTTTTTTTTTATCACAGATGAGTAACAAATAAGAAAATAATTAGGTAACAGGTCTAATGTTCAGATACTTTTAACCCTTCCAGTATATTATAAGCAGCTGTAAATGTGATAATATTGTTTGTTACTTTAGTAGATGCACAGGAGGTTTAAAATTTTTTAAAGTGTTTTCTGTTTTCAGTCGATTTTTATTCCATTTTAATGTTCTCTTTTAGGTATTGTATCTGTTGTTGACGCAAAGTATGGATTGCAGGTAAGTTACTGGGCTTCCTACATGATTTAAAACCACAACATTAAAACAGCTATTGCAGTAATGTTCATATGGGTGAATTACGTTGTCACAGCAGCTTTAATTCTTAAAATGGATGAGGATGTATTTCAGTTGCTGTGATACATTAGTACTATATTTTGAGTGGAAACAAGGACGTGCTGGTACAGTAATTTAGATTCTTATCAACTCATCATCATGTGGAGTTCGAGTTGCCAGGTTGCTAGACACTTGATTCCTTCTAGTTCTGTCACTACAGTCAAGAATCTTGGTTGTATTCCAGATAGGCATTTGGATTACTGTAAAAACTGGATAAATTTGTCTTAGAGTGTGTCATTGATCCATATTCCTTGAGAGGAGTAAGAGCGGACCTCTGATACCAGTGTGGTAACGTGTGTTAGGGATCAGATCAGGAAAGGCACTAATGTAATGGCTGCTGTGGTGAGGAGAGAAGAGAGAGCCAGGTGTCTAGGTACCATTTCAGATTGAAAGATTATTTCATTATAGGGAAGCAGACGAAAAGAGCATGTATTGGAGTAATCTGCATAAAGTGTAATGTAAAAACAGACCTATAGAACACTAAGTTTGGATAACAGCAGAAATTGTGTTTAAATCAACTTTTTTTTTTGTAATAGCTAGCCATAAATATAACTACTTGCAACTTAATAACTTAGTAAGTGACTGCTTCAATTAGGTATTGATTTTGAAGGATTCAAAATAGAACTGACCAGAAGGGATGCCTCCATGGTGAAAATCACCATCATGCTGTAGTACTGTTTTAAATATCTCTGTATTTGACAAGGGCTGCAAAAAGCAGAGAAGATTGAATAATACTGGTTAAAAAATAAGCAAATGATCCCTCCTTTATAACATTTTATTTTCTTTGGAGTATTTAGGTTTCTTGTTTCAGCTGAGCTGATCTAACAGGTGCTTTACCAAAAGGAGATTGTCCTGTCAATCTGTATTGCAGCAGGACAGAACTAATCTAGCCCCATAGCAAGCCAGTTTGTCGAGTTAAGCCATCCTGTTTTGCAAGGACTTTTACTTATAGAGCTGCTGGTAGAAGATTGGGCAGACATAAAGCTGGTCTGCCCTTTTAAGCAGGAGCTGACTTTTAAATGAGCTCAACTATCACAAGAAACAACAGCATGTCTTAAGTCAGCCCCCTTTTCAGCAAAGTGCTCTCACACTAATTTGAATGTGTTTTATCACTTGAAAAATTGTTGTTCTGTTTATCTTTCTCTTCATGCAATGTTGATTTATTGGCTTGAATCGAATATAATTTTGTGGCACACAGCAGCACTGAATTACTATTATTTTATAATTTTTTTTAATATTTGAGCTTTCAAGTAGTATGTTAAAACCAACACAAAATATTTTGTAACACTTAGCTTTTCTACCCATTATTATCTTTTGACAGCTCACTGAAAACTCCTACATTATGTAATCAGTAAGCCTGTACAACACTAACATCCACTCAGAATAATAAAAACTTAAGACTTCCTCAGTTGTATGCGAGGTGAACAACTTGTGCTTTGTATAAAGGACTTCCTAACTTGCACAGTTCTTCTGGTTTCAAATCTTAACCTCAGGATCTGCTTGTGAGTCAAAGACCTTTGGAATCCATACAGGTTATGACATTGAGATAATAGGCAGCAATTTAAGGGTGTCATGCTCAAAAGAGCCAACCCATGACAAGAAAATGTGATAAATAGCACCCTGTGACCAGTCAGCCAAATTGAAACTGAAGTGGTAATTGATATTCTGGGTTGTCACTCTAATGGATTTGTCACCCAGCAATCTGAAATACTAATTCTTTTAATCAAGGGCAGACAGTTGGACAACTTGAAATGCCGGTTTTCTACTTTCAAGACTTGACATCTAGACTACTTACATTGTTCTTTTCAGGACAACAAATCTGACAACATTTAATTCAACAGAATCAAAATCGAAAGGATTGCAAAGAAGAAGTCAGAGGGGAGGTTCCCTCCAAGTCATCCTTTTGTTTTGCTTTGCTTAAGTTCTGAACAATCAGGGAATAGTGGTGGGGTTTTTTGTTTTGCTTTTGTGTTTTTTTAAGGTGACAGACTGACAGTATGCAGTAATCGTATTTCTGACTTTCAAGTCAGGTAATGTTAGATGTCTGATAATTCCACTAGAAGACAAAACAGCTTTCTAGGGTTTTTTATTTCCCATGATGATTAACTCTACTTTCATTTGGTATTGTGGTGTCTTTAATTTTACAATAATATTCCTGGTACATGTAGAGCTGTTGAAAGAATGCACAGAACTCTAATCTTCCCAGAGATGTAAGGTGTAAGTGATGAGCTCTTACGAATATTATAGCTTCAGTTTAGAATTTTACTGCCTCCAGGTGCCTGTGATGCTTGTTCCCCAGAGATTTTCTGCCTCTCTGTCAAAAAATAACTTGTAGCTGAATCTTTGCTGCTTTGGTGTAGTCTGTTGCTCTGCCTAAATGAAGTAGGGCTTTATGTTGCTAAACTTCATGCTGCTGCTTGAGATGCAGACATTTTTTCCCCTTTCACTAGTTCCCTTTTGAGGACGTGAGCTTGGACAGGCAGGTGGAGCACAAAGCTGCAGGTGGTGCTAAACTCTGGCAGCATGACCAGAAGCTTCTGCTTTTGTCAGTGCCCACTGAGTCTTCTGCCCAGTTACAGCCTGAATAGGAATAGGCTGCAGACGCTGATGTTGGGCAGACTTGCCAAGGAACAGTGGTTTATTTGTACAAACCCAGAAAAAGCGCTAAGACTTTTTACGGTTGAAGTAGTTTGTCACATCCTCCAGAGAAAAGGAATATGGAGTTATGCATATGAAATCCTATGCTGCAAGCCTAATGCATTGTTAACACTTACTTGACATCACACTATTAAAATTACTATACTTAAATTTTTTCACGTATATTTTTCTATAGTTACTGTATGTCATGGTGACTTTATAGCTGATGAGAAATCTAAAAACTAACTAAAATATAGTACAATTTTCCAACTCCTTAGCATTCTAATAAAAAAATTCATTGGAAGACTTTTCATAAAAGAGATTCTAAGATTTATATAATGGTGAACTTTTTCACTGTCATTTTACAGAAAAATTCTTGATGCTATCTTCAATACGTTGTTGAAAAATATAACTCAACTGAACTGGATTTAACTTCAGTAATTGCAAATTAATTTAAATAATTTGAATTTTCTTAATCCAATTGTTTAATTTTTTGTTTAGCACTTGACAGAGGAAAAACCGGAAGGCCTTGTCAATGAAGCATCTCGGTATGGATGTATAAATTAATTTTATATATCACAGTTAGGAACTCCTCTGTATAGAAGTTCATTAGAAATAGCTTCTTTTTCTTTTGTAAGGCTTATTTCTTCTCCTTTGCTTTTAAACCAGGGTAGATTGGTGTAATAGGTGATAGAAAAGTGACCATATGCTGCATTTAGTCTTTTTGCCAAGGTCCGACTCTTCTAATACGTATTTTAAGAGGGATGACGTTTTATATAAGTATCGGGGGAAAGAAAGAATTGCATGCTCAAAATAGATAAAGGAGTATTTTTTGCTGTATGTGGGGCCACGGTGATTAAGGGAAATTACAGTAATGGAAGTCTTCATAAAGCAAAGAGACTTCAGATATGACTTTAGAAAGACTACGTGCAAGAGATATAGGGGCTTGTGAAGTTGGTAGATCACCAAGCACTTTTGTTTAGATGACATTTAAAAAAAACCACAAAAAACCAAACCAACCAAAACCAACCCCACCCAAAAACTAACAAGCCTTTGTAGGTTGGGTAGACTTCTCTTACAGCAGAGAAGAGCACCTCAAGGAGAAGCCAGTAGTACTTCAGTCATACTCTATGATGTTCTAGTTTAATGAATGCTTATCTTTCTGTACTAACAGTGCTCATACTATTTTTTTTTCTTTTTTTGGTGCTAAGGGGGGTATGGTATTTCTGCCTTACAGAAAAAGTATTTGTCTATTTTTTCTTATTTTTTTTTTCTTAATGCATAGGCAGGTTGCATTAGCTGATCTTATAATCATCAATAAAACAGATTTGGTTTCTGAGGAAGAACTGAGTAAAGTCAGAACATCTGTCAGGTATGAAACTTTTGGCATAACTAACACTGTATTTTTATTTAAAAATAACTTACTTCGTGCTGTTAATACAGAAATTAGATTTTATGATTACATTGACAAAAATCGTTAACTCAGAAGCACTGGAGAGACTGCCCATTTCTAAAGGCTTTTTTAATACTTTTACGAGCTTACCCAGTCTCAGCAATTTACCTGTGTAGGTGAAATTTGGTGTTACTTACTGTCGTGGTTTGACCCTGGCCGGCAGC